CACAGGTGGATGGTGAATGGCCCCTCCCAGAGGAAATAAAAGAGGAGCGAAAGGGGAATGGAGTTTGCAGGAGACCATTAGTTCGCTTCATTGGTTCGTGACTCTCTGAGATTCCTGGCCAGGTTTTGCAGAGATCGGCTGGCAGCTCTCCAAGCCAGATAAGGTCTGTGACTGTAAATCCTCCCTTTGAAAGACAAGCTACATGTTCCCAAGAGCATGAAGCAAACTCCTGGTCCCGACAAAAAAAACCTTTATTAATTGACTGTGAGTTCTGCTCATTCACATCCAGCAAAGTCTTTCAAAGGGAGGATTTACAGTCACAGACCTTCTCTGGCTTGGAGGGCTGACAGGCCGATATCTGCAAAACCTGGCAAGGAGACTCGGAGAGTCACTAACCAATTAAGTGAACGAATTGTCTCCTGCAAACTCCACTCCCCTTTCGCTCCTCTTTTATTTCCTCTGGGAGGGGCCATTCACCATCCACCTGTGACTTTACTCCCAAGTCGACCCCTGTTCTTTAGCGGTTTCCTTTGTCTGGCAACTCTGCGCATGCGCGCACTGGGAACAGGCTCCAGTTGTTTGTCTGCCTCACTGATCTCTGACTCCAAAGGCAGCTGATAACTGTCAGACAGCCCTGGCCCCCTCTCTGCCTCCAACCCTCATCAGAGCCTTCCCCAGACTCCAGGACTGGCCCGTGTTCCTCCCCAACCTCCTCACTGTCCGAATCTGTTGCCAGCTCTGCTGGCCGCTGGTGAGCCACAACACTACATTGCAGAACCTGTGCTTTGGAACCACTACTACTACAGCTTTGGGTTGGGTGCCCTCCTATCTTCCCATTCATGGAGTTCGTCGACTTCTCCCAGTAAGAGGTCAATAGAGAATAGGGAGTTCTGAAGTTGTCTGAGATATCCACCTGTAGAAGCCATGAGACAAAAGTGTAGATCAAGGGTGTCAACTTCATTGAGGTGGGCGTGGCCAGCTTGACATCACTCATGTCGGGGGTGCCTGTGGTGGCCCAAGTGCTCTGCCAGTGAAAATGGGCTCCCGAGTTCCATTTTAGGCTGTGATAGCCTCCTGCAACCCTCTCCAAGAGAAAACGGAGCTTAAGAGGGCCGCCTGTAAGCTTCCCGAGCTCATTTTTCGCTGGCAGAGGCACCATAGGCCAGTGTTGTTCCGGGGGTGGCCCTGTGGCCCAGATCTAAGGACCCCGAGGGCCAGATTCAGTCCCCGGCCTTGAGTTTGACACCCCCGGTGTAGATGTTTTGGAAAGGGAGAGAGGCGGATGTATCAGGATCATCATTTTAGGTCCAAATTCGGCCCTGCAACGCCTTCATCTCTGTGGTCTTAAACGCTGTTTCAGAACTGGCACTGGTGCAAGCAGAAAAGGCTCTGCTAGAGGAGAGCTGCCATGGCAAAGAGCCCCGAGGTCTCCTGTCTGGATTGCGTCGCAGGAAACGGACCCTGAGCTGGAGAGCTCCTCATGTCGAAGCCCCAATACCCACGCTGCCCGATAGCGAAGGGGCATCGCGTGCTGTTCGCCCTTCAGGTATGCCTTCTTGTTGGGAAGGGTCTACTTCCTTCCCCTTCCCGGATGTATAAGGAATCGAGTCGTGGTGGCGCAGTGCTTACCGTGCAGTACTGCAGGCTACTTCTGCTGACTGCCGGATGCCTGCGATTTGGCAGTTTGAATCTCACCAGGCTCAAGGTTGGACTCAGCCTTCCATCCTTCCCGAGGTTGGTAAAACGAGGACCCAGATTTTTGGAGGCAATAGACTGACTCTGTAAACCGCTTAGAAAGGGCTGTAACAGCACTGTGAAGCGGTATATAAGTTTAGGTGCTATTGCAGCCTGACTCTGCCCACTGCTAGGAGTTCGATCCTGACCAGCTCAAGGTTGACTCAGCCTTCCATCCTTCCGAGGTGGGAAAAATGAGGACCCAGATTGTTGGGGACAATAGGCTGACTCTGTAAACTGCTTAGAGAGGGCTGTAAAAGCACTGAGAAGCGGTATATAAGTTTAGGTGCTATTGCTATTGCAGTCTGACTCTGCCCACTGCTAGGAGTTCGATCCTGACCAGCTCAAGGTTGACTCAGCCTTCCATCCTTCCCGAGGTTGGCAAAACAAGGACCCAGATTGTTGGGGACAATAGGCTGACTCTGTAAACCGCTTAGAGAGGGCTGTAAAAACACTGTGAAGCGGTATATAAGTCTAGGTGCTACTGCTATTGCAGTCTGACTCTGCCCACTGCTAGGAGTTCGATCCTGACCAGCTCAAGGTTGACTCAGCCTTCCATCCTTCCCGAGGTTGGCAAAACAAGGACCCAGATTGTTGGGGACAATAGGCTGACTCTGTAAACCGCTTAGAGAGGGCTGTAAAA